TTTCATGAGTTGCATAATATTTGGGAACTGAGAGCACAATAAAAAGTATTTCAATTATTAAGTCTACAATTGTGTTGAAGAGACCAAATGCTGGGCTCTTATGAAAGACACACGCGATTCATGACTGAAAGATATTGTGAGGCAAAGTCCACGAAAACGCATCCAAACCCTAATCTATGGCTCAGTAGTCAAAGATGAGGACTGAAAATAATCAAACAATGGTTACCTCTGTTAGCTCAAGGTCTGCACAGCTCGTAATAATGACCTTTTAATGACACTCTGGGCCTTACTTTGCACTCCTTATGCAAGTCTAATAGGTTTGTGACACAACTCCTGTCGCATACATTAAGACCTGCATTATTTGTAGCCCTAATTATTGCCTAATTTCACTACCAAAATATTCAAATGATTATAACTTTGTTTATGTATTTTAGACATGAAGCACAATTTTTAAAATTATAATTTTACTAAAACAATCATGTTAAATCAAAGTTATTCTAACGTAAAGGCACTCAATGGTCCGAAAATCATTGAAGTAATAGTAATTAAATCTCACATTTGAATTTGAAATTTTACTTTATTGCTAAAAAACATAATGGATTTAAAAATATAGTCCGATCAAACACAACAATTGCATCGATTATTAGTATTAAGAACCAATAGTTTATTCAAAGAAGACAATAGTTCTTAAGGACTGTCCGGAATGCATGAGTTCGAAGGCTTCGTTGATTTGATTGAGTTTTCTGGTGTGAGTGACAAACTCGTCGACCATTAGCTTCTTATCCAGATATTGTTCCACCAGTTTTGGCACACTTTGTCTGCTCTTCCATCCGCCGAATGCCGTTCCCTTCCATACCCTTCCTGTCACTAATTGAAAGGGTCGAGTGCTTTGGGAACACAAATATAATTGGTTACTGTTATTATAATTAATGGCAATTAAATTTTTACTACAAATCAATACCTAATCTCCTGACCACTGGCGGCCACGCCTATGAAAAGTAATAAAATAATTAATTATTAAGCATTTTATTCATAAGATTCGAGCAATAATACCGATGATGACGGAAGTGCCCCACCCTTTATGGCACGCTTCGAGTGCGGCTCTCATGGTTTGCACATTTCCAATGCATTCAAAGGTATAATCGAGTCCTCCATCGGTCATCTCAATGAGCACCTCCTGAATGGGTCGGCTGTGGTCTTTGGGGTTCACAAACTCAGTGACACCAAACTTCTTAGCCGTTTCAAACTTGTCTGCATTTATATCGATTCCGATGATCCGTTTGGCGCCTCTCACTCGACACCCATTGGCAACGGCGAGACCGACGGCACCCAAACCCCAAATCGCACAATTACTGCCCTCTTCCACGTTAGCCGTGTTCAGTGCGGCTCCAAAACCGGTTGATATCTGCGTTAAGACAATAATATTTTAATATATAACTAAAATAGAGCTCTAATTTCACGGAAACTAACACCACATCCCAAGAGACAGACTTTATCCAACGGCGCGCTATCGTTAACTTTGGTGACCGAGATTTCTGCGACAACAGTGTATTGGCTGAAGGTTGAAGTGCCCATAAAGTGGTACAGAGTCTGGCCCTTACACGTGAACCTAGACGTGCCGTCGGGCATAACGCCCTGTCCCTGAGTCACTCGGATTTTGCTGCAAACGTTTGTCTTAGGGCTCAAACAGAACTTACATTCACCGCACTCTGGGATATACAGTGGGATGACGTGATCGCCCGGTTGGACAGAAGTCACACCTAAACCACACACAAACAAAGTGTTGACCGCATGTAATGGCAGCACAAAGATCTCGTCTGTGAATACCTTCGCCAGCACTCTCGACAATACCTCCGCCCTCATGGCCTAACACACAGGGAAATAAGCCCTCGGGGTCGTGACCATCCAGGGTGTAGGCGTCCGTATGACACACACCGGTGGCCAATATCTTGATCCTAACCTCGCCTTTCTTTGGCGGCGCGACTGTTATCGTCTCAATAGTGAGCGGTTTCTTTGCCTCCCACGCGACGGCCGCCAAACAATCGATGGGCTGTTTATTACAATCACAATAACTCATTGGATATATTGTATAATTTTGTTATTACGGATAACACATACCTTTCCAGTTGTGTCCACAGAAGTCATGTTTATTAATATTTTATTAGTTTAGTGCAAAAACTATACAGAAATTTAAAATAGATTAATATATTTATCAAATAAATTACTGGAATTTTACTGAATTTATTCACACTTTAACTAAAAGTCTGTTATGTTTAATGATTTCGCATAAAATTGACGTCAATTTTAAACAAAAAATATTTTTCTAAATGAATCGAGAAATTGGTTTTATTACTGGAATTTTACTGAATTTATTCACACTTTAACTAAAAGTCTGTTATGTTTAATGATTTCGCATAAAATTGACGTCAATTTTAAACAAAAAATATTTTTCTAAATGAATCGAGAAATTGGTTTTCAATTGAATGTTCAATTGGGATAGCAATAGAAATTAAAAAATGATTTAATAATGGTAAATTCCAAATATATACAAAATTAATATGTTGCAATTTGTACAAATAATATTCATAAAACTATCATGGTGGAATTGTTTATTTAAATAATTGGAAATATACCAAACTTACAATTAATTGATTGATTAAATTACTAGAAACAACACGATTCTCAATGAAATCGATCACTAATTTATGAATTAAGTCTGAAATGTGACAATAAATCATTAATTAGAGACTAATATCTGGTCTTTTTGTTAATCACAACTTAAGTCTTAAGAGTTATATTAATTATTATGTAATCATTGATTGAATTGAAGGTCAGTTCAATTTCAATGCATTCAATGGCTTTTAATTTGATATCACTTTTAATTACACTTAAGTGTTATTTCAAAAAACATTTTAATACTTATGTTAAACAAAATATATTTTATCGGTAACTAAAAAATAAACAAATTATTGAAACAAATGTTAACAAAATTTTAGATAGTTTTAGAAAAAGTTTGATAATTCTGGTCATGAAGTTTGTCTCCGATATTAGTTATCCATACAAATAACGATTTAAACTATTATACAATAGTTAACAACTATTAGTTATATAAATTAATTACAATTAGTACTTGTAATTAACAATTAGTATTAATTAATTAGTAATAATTATTGTTTGGCAAACTTTCTAACGTTACAAATTAATTGTTGCCAAAAATATAACTCTTTGTTACCGACAAACACTTATGACGAGTGAAAAGTCAAGTGAAATAATCAATAATTAAGATCAAAGTTATGCCACAAATACATACCGAAAGTGTAATAATAAGTGCGAGAAATACTTAATCAACAATAATAACAATGAATGAAGAAATGATTGAATGAATTGTTCAATGAATTGATTGTTTGTATGGATTATAAGAAGAAGTGATCATATGTTTAGTCGGAAGCGAAGCGCAAACTCCGGGCACTCAATGTCTGTCTAATGTATTGTTTGTATGCTTTTTGAATGCATAGACAAAACGCATGCGTTTTTTCCTCTCCACTCAGTCATGAATCGCGTGTGTCTTTCATAAGAGCCCAGCATTTGGTCTCTTCAACACAATTGTAGACTTAATAATTGAAATACTTTTTATTGTGCTCTCAGTTCCCAAATATTATGCAACTCATGAAACGTCTAAACAAAGAATTCTTGAGATTATTATAACATTGGATTTAATTGTCACTTAAAATAAATATTTTGCAAAGCATTTGTACGCTATTTTCAAACCGCTATCAAATGACCCTTTTATAAAGTCATTCAATTTTTCAATAAATAAGTTCTTGAACTTAAGGGTATATAAAATGTATGTTTAGATGAAAATTGAATTAGAAGTGCTTTCCTTATTTCATATCGTATTTCATTCTTATTTAACCATTAGTTTAACTGAAATTCAAATATTAAAATTTCAATAAAACATTTTTTGTAATTTTTAAATCTAATATTAAATTGAAGTAAATGTCCTTGTCTTTTTATTTTATTACATATTTTCATTTCTCAAACAGTTATAACAAATATAAGGAAAGTGTTTGCCGTGATGTCTAAATTTATAATTTATTTGTTATAAAAAGTAAATGTTATCTATAATTAAAAACACTATAATCTCGACATTTATACACTCTTTCTGAAAATATGTTTAGTCATTGAGATATCTCTAAAAATTCAATTTAAAATTAATAACTTTTATTTATAACTTTTTCTACATATAATTCGATGAAACATATAATGAATATTAAAATTTTACATTTAAAAGCGAAACATGAATTATATCTACGGAATGCAATGTAATGTAATTTCCAGATTTGTTATGAATGCTAAATATTTCTCAACAGTTAAGTGTTAGTTAAAGTGATTGCTTAATAAAAATACTTTTTGGAGTAATCAATAAACAAATACAAGATTTGAGTAAAACTACACTTAATTCATATCAATAATACTTTAGATAAGTATGTATGAGAACGTTGTGGGCGTCGATATTACCAGTGTTTTCGTTGGGATAACAAAGTAAAGTGATTTCAGGAAACTTTTGTAAATGAATTGCATTAATGAGTAAACCATTTAAAAATTATTGCAATAATTACTCCTAATATCCATATAAAGACTTTGCGTTTTCATAATTAATTTTAAATGCATTAGATTTAATGGCAAACAACTTAAGTCAATGTGATCTACAAATTGATTAAAATTACTCAAAAATGGCATTAATTATCAATAAAAACATTTTATTATATAAATTTTAAATGATTGTATTTATTAAAAATATATTTTCAAATTATACAGTATATTTCAATTATATAAAACTTTATAATATTTATACAAAGATTTTTGATAATTATTTCATTTAATGTACAAAAAGTTGTTTTGAATACAAAATGAAATGAATTATACAATAAAAAGATAATAAAAAGCAATAAATTTTCTCGGATTAATAAAACTCTACAAAACACTTATAACTCATAATTGATAATAAAAATGATTTTTCTTTAGCAAAAGCTATGCACACAATGAATGCTTATTATAAACAATATGTCTATAAAACGATATCAAAAGTGATCTCAAATTCGGTATCAAATAATAAGGAATTATATGAATATTGAATGCAAACGATATTTAAAACTAAAAATGCTTTCAAATATAGACGAAACGGAAATTCAAAGACTTCAGCGCAAAAGAAATGTGTTATTCATTTGGTTTTTGGGAAAAAACTATTAGCAGATAAGAAAAGTTGAATGAAATGGCAGTACATTTAGAGATACATGAATAGAGTCTGGAGAGTGAAACATAATATTCCGGTACATATGATAAATAAAAATCTGTATTTGTATTTAATTTTCGTTAGCGTTATATGAATTTGAGTTAATGTCCGAACAATTGTTTGTTTATTTGTTTGTTGTACTGAAGTGTGAATTTTGGATAACGACTAGTCTTTCATTCAAATCAAACATTCATTATTTCTTTTTCTTCTTCAACGAATCAAATGTAGAAATAATTTTCATAATTATTAAACGATGGCTTCAATGTCGGCGAATGTATTGATTTGGAGTTCACCTCATCCTTACTGTTCAGATGAAACATAACATTCCCGGAGCGGTCGCAGGTCTTACTCCACGGCAACTATCAAATTGATATCAGTTTTCGTTTACAACACAGGAATTAATATAAGAATTACAAAAGGAGTTTACAGTTAAGGGGGAAAACATTCAAATGTATGGGAAGTTAAATATTTAGATAAAAAAGAGAAATGAAAAACAAAGCACTCATACCTCCCGTACTTCTCGTTTCCTTATTTGATATTCTTCTGTAGTATTCTTTCGGAGTTGAAAGACATATATATCGGGGTTCGGCCACTGAGACTGTATGGCTAATGGGATCTCATTGCCGCACAGTTTGCGTTCGCCTGCGTTTTGTATAACACAAAGATTACAATTGTTTTCATAACTTCTAATGTTTATTATGTCTACACAATTGAATGGCATATTCTGTGTGACAGAAGACATACATTTACGGGACGGACAGACTTCATATAAGGCAAACTTCGAGGGCTTCTCATTCAAGTTATAACAGTTCAGCAATAGTTGGATCAACTCGTCGACAGTCGTTCGGTCCGACAGCAGAAGACTCTTATAGAGAGACTATAAATAAGCCAAATGTGTGATCATTAGCACAGAAATACATGTTTTAAGTAAAGAGTAAAATGATGTTAAGGGGAGAGGGAAAGAGTGGAGAGTGCGGGCCATCAGACATACCCCTGACATAAGACAGCTGTCATAGATTTTTATGAGACCTCCGCAACGCATCATAAGTGAAAACCTATGGATAATTAAAACAAACAAATCGTATATTAAATATTTATGGCGTTAGGCATAAGATATAAGGCATTAGGAAATGTTTTTTTCTCAATTGTTATTACTTTAAGTCTTTTTGGGGATAACATGACTGAAGAAGTGCCGGACACGTGTCGTCGTCCAAAACCATTACACTCCGGATGGGAATGCCTGACAAATAAGTGACGAAAACAAAACATTGTTTAATTTAATGCATTCATAGGATTGTCGAGCGGAAAAAGTAGCGCTTAATGTTATGTAAATAATTAATACTGTATATGAAAAGATATTTGTTATCTTAACAACTTGTTGATAGTCTTAACGTATAATGTGTTTTGATTATCGCTATTATTTCCTTTGATATTTTGTTTTTTGTGTTTAGAAAAACATTTGTGTCTAAAAAGGGATGTCTTTCATGAAAACATCCTTTACTTGTCATCGGAATCGGCCGATTGTTTTTGCTTTCAATTTCAATTAAAAAACAAGATTTACAAAAACAAAAACACGCTGTAATTCAAAATAATTGAAACATCGGTGAATTGATAACAACATTCAAAGCAATAGTGATTTAAAGGCAATAAATAATCGCCAATTTATCTAAATTACAATTTCTATACATATGAGCATCAAATCGATTAGAAATTAATCACTTCTCAGCTAATTATCAACTGATTTATGTCCGAATAATTCAAATATCAGATCCAAATCGTAATCAAAATATTTATAAATTTTTGACACAAATATCGAAAAAGAAAAGTAAAAAATAAAGAAAAACTTTCAATGAAAGTGAATTATTATGGAATTGTAGTAAAAATACTTTTATTAAAAGTTTTTGTATTTAGGAGTTGTTGGACAGGATTTCGGATGAATGGAGAAAATAGACTCCAATTGTGAAACAATTTTCTATGAGAAGGCACTGAATTTTTACGCTCAGTCTTACGATATGATTCATTGAACCGTAAATTATCTATTTTTTACGCAAAAATACTTTCTTCTTTAGGGCTTTCTTTCTGCTCGTTATATAGAGTATTGAGAGCAACAAAAAACCTGTGCTTTTCTTGTCATATATTCCCATAAATCAGGTACTATTGTAATGCTTTCACTTAGAAATGTATTAATTTTTCAATTATCTCATAATATATTACATAATAATATCAATAAATAATATTTCATAGAAAGTTTACAATAAAAAAAAGTTTAGAGTCAATGGTTTTGACTATCATATGGGAACAAAACTGTTTTGATTTGTTTATCGCATTTTTATAACTTCCTTTCATTTGGTAATAAAATTGTTTACAAATTCCTTAATTAAATACAAAAATTTTCATTGCTTTTCCTGAGAGATACTTGTAATTCAATTCACAACCCAAAGGATAGGCCCCGTAATGAATGTGTGTCTGTGTTTGCCGTGTGTTTTGACACAACATTGTTTGTTGTAATCGATAATAAATCTGTACTATTGGCGCGATTGGTGTCCTGTAGTGATGGACTGGCATTACATACCTGTTTGTCTGATCCATACTTCTAGTGTCAGGTAAAAGAGATTGGGATCTCTTTGTTTAAGTCTGAATTTGTTGAGCAGCATTCGGGCCACTTGTTTGCTCGTTGTCTGACTCGTGATCGACAATGTCTTGTACTCCACGTCCGAACACAACACTCGAGAATATATCTTAATTACGACCTGAAATGGCAATCAATTTCATAAATAAGTCATTTTCTATCGTTAATTGCATTACTGGCAGGAAATTACTCTCAAAATTAAGTCAATATTTGAGCAAATCTTAACGAAAAACAATAGGTTTCCAATGAGTTTAGGTTTTTATGGGTTATATTTATGCAATTTATTGTAAGTTTGTATAAAAATAATTAATTTGATTATTAGTTTCCTTTGAAAGGCTTTCATTGTTTGATGAATTCAAGAGCGGAATCACATCTCATTTGATTGGTTTTCTAAAGAGACCTTAACTTCTGCTGGTTTTTAATGAAGACCTGCAATGAGTTTTGGTGTTAAGGCTATGTATAGCCTCTCTATCTCTATGTAAGCATTCCTTTGTCTGACATTAAATTAATCCGAGAGGAGAGCGGAAAAAGGCGTTTGCATTGCAGGCCATTAATGACTCCAATTTATATTCCTCTCTCCATCTCTCACTACAGAAGCACTTGTTTCAGTGTTTTCAGTGTTTCGCACATTTTATGCTCTTTTTGAACTATTTTTGTGTCAAAAACGAGTGCAAAGAATGTCATACTTTTCTTTAATCGTTGCAAAAAATAGTTACACATAAAAGAAAACAATTGATATCATAGGAGAGAAATCAATAAACCCATGATTTTTGGTTGTTTTTCTGGTACCAAATAATAATTGGCAACCGATTTGTGTTAGTATTAGCGCTGAAAAATAAATGATTTTCGTACATGATTTGAATTTAAGAGATAATTTGCAACTAAAACACATAGAGAAGTAATACAGTAGTGGATAGAGCTTAGAGGCAGTGGTTTGGTTGGGTGTCTCTCTTAAATGCTTATATTCCCGGCGATAGTTGCGATGATAAGCCTATACACCATAGCTATAGCCATAACTATTGCCATAACTATAACGTAAGACTAAAAGCAAAAGTAAAGAATGCGCTTCTCGTCTATCGTCTCCACTCGTCTACTCGTCCCTTAAATTATATGCCTTTGCCTTCCAATGCCTTCAGGGGTTACGCAATGAATGAAAATATATTAAGACTCCGAAGAGATAGCTATGAAAGCAATGCAATGCATGGGAAAAAAGAAATATATAGAAAAATGACGCAAAGGTATGACAATTGGTGCTTATTTTGACTCTTGAGTACCACTTTGTGCTCTCCTTTTATGTTTGACTTCAAGTATAAAAACTCAATTAATATGTGACTCTTTTCTTCTCCTCTCTTCTTCTTCTCTCGTCGTTATTAAACGCAAAGCAATTAATTGTTGAGAATTTCTATTCAAATTGATTGTGTCTTTTGAAATGCATTACATTTTTTGGATACATTATTAACACTAATATTTCGTAATTTATAACTACTTTAAGAATACATAACACATGAAAGGAAAGGTTGACATCTGTTATGCATTATGTTTTGTATTCAAATTAGTGGTCAAAATAATTGTTGCCTTCTTTTAGGCAAAAGTTTTCCTTTAAAAATAAAACTTATGTTTCGTTTAATATATAAAAGCATATTTTTATTTCATTTAATTATTTTCCATTCATTTAATTAATTAATAAAACATTTGTCGGAAATTTAAGTCTAAAAATTCACGCGAAATACTTTTTAAATTATTATTAAAAGTTAATTTTCTAAACAATTAAGTGATTAGAAAACGAGATAATAGGAGACGAATGTGTGTCGCGGCTTAGATTTCGGTCTTATTTTATAAGTTTTATTCATTTATAAATTATAATGCAATATAAAAATGGCTTTAAATTACACAAAAACAAAATAAAAAGCAATACCAGTCAACATAACAAGCAATTATTTATGCGAATTATAAGTTGGCAAACAATTACATCATATGATGGGCTCAACAGTAGCTAAATCTGAATAAAAATGAGAAACACTTTTGCATTAAACGGCGAATCGAGTCCATCATTACTTAACCACTACTACACTCTCTGATAGCCTCTATTTCTGATATCATTCCCATGCGATCCCATTGCCAGTCAAATGCTATGCTTATAATCGGTGTCCAAATGTAATTAAGTCTAAAATAAACTCTCATTTGAATGAACTCTGGACGCAAATAGTGTTTCATTTCTTCGTAATCTTATTTCTGTTAATTCTTGTGAACTAAAAGATTAACTCTTTTAATAATATTTGGGAAGAGTTTTCGGGGAAGTAATGAACGAAACGATTAAAAGCTATAAACAGAATGAAAAAATTGTTGCTTTGATTTAAATGAGAGGAAAACAAAATGTTTGTAAACTTTTAAGAATACAATCAACAAAAGCTATTTCACAGACCAATTGTCATACGGGAAGACATACTTCCCCTCGAAATACCCCTTCAAACGAAACTTAGAGGACTGGAAGAGAGGACAACGCCTTCTTTAAAAGCCAAACCATTTTTCCGAGACTCGTGTAGTGTTTGGTCTCACATACGGGCATAGAGTTTGTCGCTTATTATAACAGCTGTTGCCTATAGACTATAGTAGTGGTGCTGTTCTAACAAAAAATTAAAGGTCAGCCTCTGGTAGAGCTGTAGGACTGGTAGGAAATGGAGGATTGAATGGGACAGGAAATGGGATGAGGGGTCGATCACAACAGATGGGAAGAGAGGGGGTCTTTGGATACTGACTGGGACTCACTCTTGTATCACTACATATCACAGGACATGCATTTCGATACAACTCTTGAGGATATCTGACTCTCCGCTCAATACTGTTGTATGTCTTAAAAATTGAGAGTCAGATAAGGAGAAGATGTGAGAGAACTTTTCAGACCAAAAGGTTAGCTCAGCTCTCAGTGTTTAACCTCTCGTTCACAGCTTTTCAACACATAAATAGCATTCATTTGAAATGAATTGCGTTTTTGGACAACAACTCAATTATATCCCTAATGAAGGAATTCACATAATTGTCACAAATGTCTTCAAATGCCAAACTCCTCGACACTGTTTTGCAATACTTGTCTTCAGTCCAGCCATGCATTGCAATGCAGTGCAAACGGGGGGTCGAAGTCGCCGACTCCCAGACCCCTCTCTATTTCTCTCTACCATTGAATCCCGGATTCAATTGACAATAAATATGTCTCTTATTTAATACATAAAATGCCTATACATTTAGATTTTGTGTTATGTTTGAAATTGAATATAATATTAGGCAAAAAGTTTACATAAGTTTTGAAACTTTTTGTGTGTACTTTCACAACAAAATAGTAATCAAACAAATACTCGTTATTATTGAGAGTAAAAATCATTAATCATTTGTTCACTCTTTTTGATTGAGAAAATGATGTGAAGAATAATAAAAACAAAGATTTCAATAACGAGTTTGTGATCAAACACTTCCATAAAAAGATTTGATCGTTTGATTCAATCATTTTTGTTTCATTCATTCATTCATTCATTCATTGCTTTTTCACAAATTAGGAGAAAACGATTTGTATGTCTTTTAATGTCTTTAGCCTTCAATAATACTATTTAAGTATGAAATCATTGCCTCAAAAGTGTTGTATATATTTTAGACTTAACTTTAGATCAATAACTTTCACTTAGGAGCTAATGATAACTCAATTGATATAAAACAGAGCAATACTTCTTCAGGCAATGAAATTAAATCCGAAAACATTTTTATTGACGGTTTAGTTATCGGATTAACACAAAAACGCTAATAATAGTAATCAATAGATAATAAATTTGTTGATATTAATGATGTTTTGGCGGAAATATTACATAATTTTGTGGGAAATATAATGAATTGATAGCAAAAAATTGTTTTTTTGAATAACTTTTGGTTTGGAGTAAGGCTTGTGTCAGACCTTTGATTGTCTAAACGAAACGCTTGAATGAGTTTTAAAGTTTTTTTGTGCCGTATTTTTAACAAAACTTTTATTCAAATACACAAAACAAAAACAAAAACTAATTTACTGTTGAAGGGAATGGACTGCGAAAGAAAATATACCTCAAAATAAATTTAATATAATTTATTTATTTATTCAGAGAAACAGACTTTCAGTACAAATATTATATGAAAGCAAAAGATTAAAACCGAAAAAAGAAAAAAAGTTTTCAAACATTTGGAAACATTTGCTGAAAAGTTTAGCCACAGGTTTAGGCAAAGAGTTTTTGGGTAAAGATTTGCTCAAAAGTTTAGTCAAAAGTTTTGAAAAACACACATTTTTGAGGCGAAAGAAAGTTAATGTTTGCATACCTTTTGTAGACCCAAGTCGTGAATAGATGTGGAACTGGAGGATCGCGAAGACCTCGATGTCTGTTCGTCGCATCCATTGTTGGATCCATTAGAAGATCCGCACAAAACAGAGCTATTGATACTAATTGTGTCCACATTTAGTGAGTTTAGAGTCCGATTGGAGACATGTTTCAGCATTTCGTTAACGCATTAAAAAACAAGCGCTAAATATAATGATTCAAAAAAGCAAATACTGTTCACTAAATAAGCATAACTTCAGCACGACTTCAAGTTTTACACTCAAAACACAGCCAAACAAATGAAATGCCTTTACATTAGGGGTGAGAGAGAAGAGGCACTGAAACGGCCGCTACTGACAGACTGTAAGCCAAACTGAAAGCACTGTTAGGTTTGGGAATGCATTCATTCACTTCACTCTCGGCTCTCATTCAACAGTCAATTGCATTGAAAGCCAAACCAAACCCAACACTCAATACCATTGACTCTCCAATACTTCCCTCTATTGACACACATTTCAAACGTCTATTACATTAAAGTCTCGCCAATAGTTTGACACATGATTTGGTGCCACATATGCAACAAAAACACATCCAAGACATCACTTACAGCATCACATCCCACACAAGACAACCCTCTGGACAGACAATTGTGTTGTCACTATTGTATTGAAGTGTAGATTAGTTTAGATTATATATTGTAAGCCATGGATGAGCTGAGGAAACGGATCCAAGAGTTGGAAAAGGAGTTACAAAATGAGAGACAATCGAAAGAATCGGCGAATGAAGAGAAACGAAGACAAAAGATCCAAACGATGAGCGATGAAGTCGTCGACTCTAACCCTTACAGGTATTTGTATTAACCATTCATTCATTGTTTGATTATTTATATTTATAACTGATTTTGAATTATTAATTAACATTTGGTTTGCATTTCTTTTGGTTCAGTCGTCTGATGGCACTGAAGAGGATGGGAATCGTTGACAACTATGAGGTGTTTATCAATTTCTAAACTAACTCTGCAATTGATAACTGTTTGAACCCAATATCCAATGAAAACAATTTAAATCTAATTAAACCGAAGATATTGAGGAAACAGATGTTATTGTTTTGAAATGAATAGTTTTGTCAAATTGTTGTGTTATATAAAACATTTAAAATTAACGATTTGTGACAATATTAATAGAAAATCCGTGACTTTTCGGTGGCGATCGTAGGGATCGGTGGCGTCGGGTCTGTGACGGCAGAGATGCTGACCCGATGTGGTATCGGAAAGCTATTGCTGTTTGATTACGATAAGGTAGAGTTGGCTAATATGAATCGGCTATTCTTCCAGCCCTATCAGTCGGGTATGTCTAAAGTGGCCGCCGCTCACAACACCCTCTCCAACATCAACCCAGACGTACAGTTCGAGACCTATAACTATAACATTACGACAATCGATAACTTCAATGACTTCTTGGAGAGAATCAAAACGGGAGGAATCGGCGGCAAAAACGTTGATTTGGTTCTGAGTTGTGTCGACAACTTTGAGGCCCGAATGGCCATTAATACGGCCTGTAATGAACTCAACCAAACGTGGTTCGAGTCGGGCGTCAGTGAGAACGCTGTTTCGGGTCACATACAGTACGTCAGGCCCGGAGAGACCGCTTGTTTTGCCGTGAGTTGTAAACCCTTATAATTGCAACGATTGGTTGTGTAATGTATTTGCATTAATGACTGCCTCATAGTGTGCGCCGCCGTTAGTCGTCGCCTCCAAAATCGACGAGAAAACCTTGAAGAAGGACGGCGTGTGTGCGGCCAGTCTTCCCACAACTATGGGTATTGTCGCCGGATTTTTGGTTCAAAATACGCTCAAATATCTGTTACATTTCGGAACCGTAACTCATTATTTGGGTTACAATGCTTTGGAGGACTTCTTCCCCACAATGTCTATGAAGCCGAACCCCAACTGCGACGACAGCTTCTGTATGAAGAGACAGAAAGAGTTCAACGCTTTACCGAAGGCAGAGGAAGTGGCGGTTGTCGAAGAGGATATCGTTCACGAAGAGAACGATTGGGGTATTAGTGTTGTCGACGAGTCGGCACCTGTTGTAGAGAATCTACAGATCAGTTCTGGACTGAGACTGGCCTACAGTCACGGCGACAATCAAAGAGACAGCGAAGACATTCCGGCAGTCAGTGCTGCAAACGAACAGTCATTAGAAGAATTAATGAAACAAATGAAGCAATTGTGAAGTGATTCGTTAAATTTTAATACATGTCATACATTGAGTATAAATAGGAAAAAACAATTCATTTCTACTAAAAGATTTTGTATATTTTATTTAAATATTGATTATATAATAGAGCCGTGGATTTATTTTATAATATAAATTTTGATTTCAAATAAAGTGTTATTAAAAGGGAAAGTTGTTGAACGAGAAGCCGTGTTGACCCGCACCCGAATGGTTGCCCCCCTGGGAGAAGGTGTAGTGAAAGGGGCCCTGACTCGAGCTAAAACCACTCGGCGCTCCGCCAGTGCTCCAAAACGCTTGGAACAGATTATTGGGATCGATGTCGAAGCCATCCATTCCGCCGCCGTCCAGATCGTGCCCGTTATCATAACGCGATCTCTTCTTGGGATCCGTCAGTACAGCGTAGGCTTCACCGACTGATCGCACCGTCAAAAACAATACATTAATAAGAATAACAGCAAAATTCAATACAGAGAGAGAGAGACATACCTTCTTTGAACTTCCTTTCGGCCTCCTTTTTCTCGTCATCGGTGTCAGTGGTGTGTCTGTCGGGATGGTGTTTGAGGGCCTGTACTTTGTATGCTTTCTTTAATTCATCATCGGTTGCCGTTTTAGAAACGCCCAGAATTTTGTAGTAATCTTTTCGTTTAGATTTCTTGAGCTCTAATTTTGCCGTATCTAACAGTTGTTTGTGTTCTGCGATACAAATCAAATGTATATTAAATTAAATTCTTATTTCATAACCAATTTGTTCTCATTTCTCAAACCTCTGGTTTTCTCTTTCTTGAGGACAGTCTCGTAGTCACGAACGGCCTCTTCGTATAGTTCCGAATCCATAGATAGTTTACCTCTTCTTAAGTAGGCTTTGATATAACTTTCGTCTAATTCAATAGCTTTGGAACAGTCATTGATCGCTTCCGCAAGTTTCTTAAGCTAATCATTACAACACATTTTTTGCATTAGTTATTGACAGTGAATACAAACAAATCAAATATGAGTTACAATACCTTTGCGTAAACGATGGACCGATTGAAATAAAGTTTAGCATTTGTTAAACTATTTAACGGATCAATTGTGAGAGCGTTGGTGTATATTCGGAGCGCGTCGTCGATCTTATTCTGTTTGATTGCATTGTTTCCCTCCTGTTTCTGAGACACCAGTTGTTTGGCTTTCCTGTAGATCTGTTTGGCCTTTTCGTGGTCTGGATTGAAGACCAACACCTGTTGGAAGTGTGAAAACGCTTTGTCCACGTTATCCGTGTAGTATAGAGTCATTCCTCTGATGTAAAGCGCGTCCGCATTCATTCCGTCGAATCTTAAGATATCGTTTACTATTTCCTGGGCTTCGCTGTGTTTAGACATCATTACTAAACACTCGGCTTTTATTAACTTAAAGGCTGTGCACTGAGTGGCCACTGAAATGGCATTCTTGATGTTATAGAGTGCCGACCGATAATCACTTTTGTCAAAATATCGTTTGGATTCGTTGACGTGCTTTTCCAGCAGTTCCAGTGTTTTCTTGTCCTGAATTAAGGCTGTATTACTCGGATCTAAGGTTTTGACGGTTTGTAAACAACGGCCGGCGGATGTCGTGTCGCCGAACAGTAAATGGCATTTCGCTTCTCGAAGGTATCCTTTGGTGAAACTCGGGTCCAATTTGGTTGCCTTTTGGATGTCGTCGAGCGCCTCCTTATACTTGCAAATCATCATAAGACAGGCGCTCCGATTGCCGTAATAGGAGGGTATGTTTGGACACGACTCTACACATCATTATAAATGCAATTCAAGTATGAGAACTGGGTTTCAATATTAAAGCTAATTGTGTCATCAATTTTAACGCAATATAATAATAGTATATAATTAGTCAATAAATCAGATATAATAGGAAATGAAGGGTACAATTGCACTACAAAACTATTAAGTGATCGCTTTTATGCACTATTTGTTAGTCTAATTAACTTTGAAAACCAAATTGAGTTCAATATAATCACAACAGATGTGCATACAATGGATGCAACAAATCAAACCACAACTCATTAATTGTCTCAAATCAAGTCTAAATTCATTAATAAGAGATATTTCATATGAAAATAGATATCTAAATACTATTAAAGTGTTTGCATAGTTAAGGAAAGCGATAAAAAGCAATATAAATTACAATATAGTTTACATACCGATGGCCGAAGAGTACTGTTTGAGCGCTTCGTGATATTTCTTCTGTTTGTAGAGTTTATTTCCCTCTTCTTTCTTAGTCTCCGCCACTCTATAAGTGAATCCATTGTTAATATAAATGTT